AACAACTTTACAAATATTACTCGAAAAGTTTGTTTTATGCCAAGCTACTGTTGTTGCTGAGTTTGCTATATTTGAAAGAAGTTCTTAGATGAAGAATTTTGGATTGGTGGGAATTCTTTGAGTAGCTGGCGAATGAGTTAGTTCGAATTGCTGAATGGAGCAACGGAAAATCTGTTCTTGTCGAAGCTGTGTATTGCACAAACTAGCTGAAGATCAAAAACCGCGTTCCTTGCTTGTTCCAAAATTCGTATTTGGTAGTCATATGCCCTAGTCGACGAATGGGTTTATAAGGCAATCATACGCCGACCAGAAGATATATACATTCTCACACCTGTGGAGAGATACAGGCTATCTCTCTCAGATCATGACAATGGACAATTCGTAAACAAAAAATATTTTTAAAGAACACTGTTCGATTAGGATAATCGAACAGTAATCTTTTCCCAGGTTCACTTCGGTTTCAACACAAATACTGATCCACAATTCAAGGATGAACGATAAGGCGTAGTGAATTTTGGTATATGAACTTTAATATGTACAGATATACAAAATATTAAAATAAAATATAAGCATGAGTAAAACATCCAACGACCAGATCTCGAGACTTATGTTAGGATATCAAAATATGCCTAACTCCAAATGGATTCGACTGAACCCGAACGGATAAAAAAATATAAGTATGAATAACTACGAATGCAGGAATCAACACATAACCAAAAGAGATGGGATAGGAGTTACATATTATTATTTTGACATGTGAAAAGGTGTTTGTAAGAACATAATATTTATGGATGCATGTGTATCTTTCTAACATGTGTCCAAAATATACGATTACTTATCTTTATATTCAGTTCTCTTTTTTTATCATTGTCCTTTCTTTTCTCTTTCACGTTTCCTCTTTTCTTTCCCCTTTTTTTTCTTGACACAAATACGATTTCACACACTGTCCGGCTGCAACAGAGATATACACTTTCTTCCTCTCTCTGGTTTTCTTTTTTTCTTTCCTTCTTTCTTCTTCTGTATACAGTTCAGTTCCAAACACGATTCAACTGCAACAGATATATACACTTTCTTCCTCTCTCTGGTTTTCTTCTTTCTTTCTTTCTTTCTTCTTTACACACTTCAGCTTGTAACAGAGATATATACTTTCTTCCTCTCTGGTTTTCTCTTTTGTTCAAACGCAGTTTGTATTCTCAGCATACAAATTCCTTTGCGTCTTCTGTGATAAATAACACGAGTTATTGTCTTCAATTTGGGGTTATCGAACAGAAATACATGTTCTTATATTTCTTATCCGGAGTTGCCTGGGATGAATCGGACAAGTTCCATCATTATCAAATGAGTCTCATCTTTCCATTCATAAGTTATCAGCGCTTCAATTTCGAGTCTTGCTCCTTCAAAAACAAGACAGCAAGTAATTTTCTAACTCTCACATGTCCTGCATTTTGGCACGAATTCCAGCTTACATCAGTCCCCTGTCTAGCTTCTGTCTAGACATCTGTTGCTACTGGTAATTGGGTCAGTCAACCTCTTGACTTGCTTTCCCAAAATGTCTCAAGACTTCCACGTGTCCTCTTCTATTGTCAGGCGGAGATTAACCTTAATATATGCGTGTTTGGGTTATCTGCGTCCGTCACAGGCGGGAACATTTAATGAGTGATATGGTTGGTTGATTTACAATCTAAGGAAATGATTAGCTAACATCAATGTTATGAGAATAGTTCATTATAACATTGGGGGTGTCGTCAGCATGTAGATAGTCCCGATATACCTTCTCTTGCAATTGCTATTAATGTTTCAGAGAAATATTCAATAGATTTTTTTTTTTTTTTTGTCATCTTTATCTGTAAGTTTTTGATGACACTGGTTTTTATATTCTGTATCCAGCTCATCGATGAATTTCCTTACTCAATTCCGCTTGGCCTTTATAACATCACTTATGCTTGATACATAAGCATTAGGCGCAAGTTTCTGTCTTTCACAAAATTCACCGATGATGCTTTCAGCAAGCATGGTGTGCTGTCTCACCGATGTTAATACACTTCTTGGCGATGCCTCTACTGTTTTGAATGTCTTTTCATACTGCCTGCTTAAAACCTCCACAATCCCTTTTAAGCAGGCAATTATCATGTTGCAAAATAAGTGTTCATTTGCTGGGGCAATCAGTAGGGATGCTGTGACTTTCTCTGGCAGGGTATTTCCAAAGAAATCTGTTGTGGAGGCGAAAATGGACATAGGGTTCTTGGTGAGTACCTTCACATTTTCAATGACTCCCTTGACAATGTTCATAGTGTGAACGGGGTCTTTTTGGTAATCTACACTAGTATAGAAGGTACTCATCCAAGGTTCTGATAGCATCTTCCCTATGATTTCCAGTACTTGCATTTCTACAATAGCAGCTTCTTCCATTATAATTTTCTGTAGTTTTTGTACAGTTTTATTTGTTGAGGAAAGTCCCAAAATAAATTGCCTTCATTGAGCGAAAATGGGAAAGTAAGTTGCACCTAGATGAAAAATTACATGCAACCGATTCCCTTGGAATCTAATGACCATGGAATACCTTGTTGTTCGATAAAGGTTTTCATTTTTGGAATAAGGCCCAATTTATCACTATATCTCAAGGAATTGAATGCTGCAAGAATTCGCCATGCTAGGCACTCACTCACATTCGTGTTTTCCTCACAATCACTCAGGACCTTCCTCGTTTTTGTTGCAACTGTCTCCAATAAGTTACAATAAAGTTCTATCAGGTTAATCTGCCACTCCTTTTCCAATAATGACACTGTTGAATGGTTAACAGGAGCCTGGTCTGTGAAGCAGCATTTAATTTTCGAAAGTATGATTTGCAAACTGACATCAACACTTATGCCAGTAGACGATGAGCCTACTTTAGCTAAGTTGTTAATGCAGTCACAAATATGCTGCTTGTAGTCCAATGCAGTCCCTCCGGAAGACGTTCCAGTGACAAAAGATGGGCGGCTGACGGAGTTGTTAACAAAACACAGTTCACATGTTTGCCATCTTGTGTTGTTGAGTCGAAAACTAAAGTGCAGTTTTCTGCACTTTGCACAGCAAGGAACATCTTTACATTGGAAAGGAAGCCAAGCTCCCCCACCATTCTATAAACTGTTGTGGAACTTTTTTCGAAAGAGCTGTGTTCCAAGGATAATGTTCTTGAAACTGGTATAACGACACTGGAAACATGAGAAGCAGAAACTCCATTCAAAAGACAGTCATAATGGAGTTTCCTGCTGACGAAAGAACTGGAAATTTTCTCTTTTTTTTTTTTCTTCAAGTTCACAAATTTTTTTTGAAAGTGATGAAATATTTTGATTTTTTTTTTTTTTTTTTAACAATGTTTTTCGAAGAGTAATTATTTTGCTATATTTAGACAAAGGAATAGCAGATGTTTCACAACATTGATCAGAACTTTTAGATGGGTTTTCAGTTGCAACAGACAGGTTTTCAGTTGCAGCAGACAGGGTTGTAATAACAGAAGTCACAGTTGAAGTTGCAACTGGGATGGCGGTGGAAGAGGCAATGGAAGATGTGGCAGTAGAAGAATGAATAGCAGATTGGACCACCACTTCACATATTTTTTGAAATCAGAGAAATTATCTCCCACATTTCTTTTCTTGTAACATTCAGAAAGTCTCCTAACTGAATGTATCGAAATAGGAGGGAAACCATTTTGTGAATTCTGCTGGGTGGCCCATTCTGCAATCTTCACGAAAGAGCCATATTTATCAAACATTTTTTTAAAAATATGGCCACACTTGATCGGCTCTCATGTATTAATACACTCATAAATATGCAAGAATTCTTCTGTTTTTTTTTTCACCATCTAAAAAGTAAAAAATTAAATACAGTTTTAAGCATAGAAAACAAATTCACTTCGAAAATGTTTTTACAATAATTAAAATATTCAGTAATCTTACTATTAACGAATTACTAAACAATTGCTAAAACGCTTAATTAACAATTTCTTAAATAATTAACTCAGTCAATTTTACGGTACCAGACAAATTTTATATTCTTCAATACAAGAAGAAATCGGTGTTTAAAAGTTTTCAAAATTACTTTTTTTCGTAGTTTTCAATGAAAACCAATTTCAAATGTGAATGAAATAATGTATTAAAATAAAAATTACAAATATATAAATTTAAGAAGAAAGAATTAATTTTTAAAAAAATTAGAAATTATTATTTTGTTTTGGTTTCCGTTTCTTACCTTCTTAATCTTATATTAAATTAATTAATAAGAAAAAAATTATTTCAATGAAATATTATCCAAAATAAAAGAAAATACTTTAAAGAAAAATATTTAATAAAAAGTAATTAAAAATAATTACAACTTACTTTTAAATTTTGAAAAGAATTTCTGGAAACACGTTAACAATGTGAATCTGAACTGGACAGAGAAGAGAAATAACCAGACGACACAAATCACGTGACCTTTTTAAGGATTATGTTGCGTATACATTTCCATACATAGAAATTATGAACGTTTTATCAATAAAAATTTCTTTTTAAAATTATTTTAAAAATATTTCGTGTCAAACGACTTATGTGCTTTTCAAAGTTCGATTTGTAAATTTACATTTTCATTAACGTTATCATTGCATTACGTACTTGAAAGAAATAGAGAATTTTAAACAATTTTTGAAGTATTAAGAAGTTAATGAAAAAAATTTTAAAAATGGGGGAAAAATTTGTAAAAAATACATTATTCATCGAAAAAATTTTATTTCTTCACAAAATAATGTTGTTAGTATAACGTATCTACAAAAACAGATGGAAGCTTGTTGCGGCGCTAAGCAGGTTGACTGTTAACCCCGCAAACGGAAAAATAATATAAGATAATACGATCGAAGCAAGGACAACAGAAACGAGGATGTAAAAGTTTAAGCCAAATTTTATTAAATAAATCTGGCACGAATATATACAGATAATCGTTTGTAGTAGTTCGGTCGTGTAGTCTTGAAGGAGAGTTGTCAGGTTTCAAGGCGACAGCTTGGAGGTAGGCGAATGGAAACAGCGATGTTCGAGGTCCAGTCGATCCCTGGATGTCTGTACTTGAGTAAAGGTGCTGCGCCGGGCGCTTGCAGAGAGAGAGGATCGGACGGACAGTGCTGTGGTGTAGTCAGTTTCGTCCTTGGGTGGACTGTCGTGCAGGATCGCAGCTTGGTAGTCCTAATAAAGGACGCTGCTAGGTTAGTCCTGAAAAGGACTATTGCATATTATGTAATCGAGGGCAGACTATTGCATATCATGTAACCGAGGATAGGCTAGTGCATATCATGTAACCGAGTGTAGGCTAGTGCATATCATGTAGCCGAGGATAGGCTAGTGCATATCATGTAGCCGCGATAGGCTGCTGCTGATATCTGCTGGCCTTGGCTGCTGCTGATGAGGAGGCGGACTGCTCTGCTGGCTCTAGCTGCTGCTGATGTCTGCTGGCCTTGGCTGCTGCTGATGAGGAGGCCGGACTGCTCTGCTGGCTCTAGCTGCTGCTGGTGTCTGCTGGCCTTGGCTGCTGCTGCTTCGTGTGGTCAGCGTGGGTGAGAGGGGGGAGCTCGTCTCTCCCCAAGCCAAAAAATCAGCTGAGAAGAATAATTTGGTGGAAAAAAATCCGCTGTGTATATATAGGCTGAGGTCGGCAACCCAGCCTGTCAGCGATATATTTGGGGTGATGACTGAAAATTACCTTCTACTTTTTGGCTGTACACATGGGTTCCATTCGGACACCATGTGTATATAAAGTAGTTTCTGGTAATTGTTTTTGGTTAGGAAAGTTAGTATATGTAAATGTTTCGTTTTTTTCTTAGTTTGTGTGAGGCGTTGACTGAAAAACGCTTAGTCACCGGAAGTTAACGGCATTAGTTATGTTTTCTGCGGTGGCGCTTTTAGATGTTTGAGTAGCGGCAGTAACTTCCGGCCGGGTGCGATAAGGCCCCCTTCCTAGAGGATTGATCGTGATCAATTCACAAAAGAATGTAAGTCTTTAGTTTGGCAGGAAAATGAACTCTTCTGCCTGATTTTGTTCAGACGACTGGTGTTGTTGTTTCATCTTCCGTCGTTGTTGGTAAGTCTGGCTGGGAGAAGTTTCCTCTAACCAAGCTGGTTTAAGTCGGTCGATGGAGACTGTATCTTTGTTTTTTGCCGCGCATAATCGTGGCAAATTTCTTAGAACGCTTCAGAACTTTAAAAGGGCCTTGGTAGCTAGGTGTGAGAGGTTTTTTTTCAAGGCGTTCCTAACAAAAACAAAATCGCAGGTATCCAATTTCTGTGGTAAGTAGGAGCTTGTGGTTTGTTTTCGGGGGAGTGTATGTAAGTTTGTCCATTTTTAGGCGCAGATCTTGCACGTAAAGAACTTGGTGTGGATGTGCAAGAGTACTGCGGAAGGTGAAAATATTGCCCTGGTAAACTGTGAGATGTAGTCGAGGTGACGTGTTTCACGGGATGTATACTTGTCTGCGCTGACATTCATCGCGTTGATCAGTGGTTTGTGATCCGTGAAGATAGTGAAATGTCTGCCTTCCAGAAGATGTCGAAAATGACGTATGGACAGGTAGATCGCCAGGAGTTCTCGTGAGAAGGTGCTGTATCTTCTCTGGGCTGCAGAGAGTTTAGCTGAGAAGAAGGCTATCGGCTGTCTCGTCATGTTCACTTGCTGCTCCACTCACTGCTCCTATTCCAACGCCGGAAGCGTCTGTTGTAAGGGAAAATTCTTGTTTCGGTCGTTTTCGATGAATGAGAGTTTTGTGAAGTTTATCAGCGCTGTCTTTGCGTTTGAAAGCCCGCAAGGTATCTCCCTCTAGGGTAATTTGTTTGTTCTTCCGCTCTATGAGGCTTGTCAGCGGGGAGAGAATTGTCGAGCAGTCGGGTATGAACCTGCGGTAAAAATTTATCATACCGATAAATCGTCTGATTTGCTTTGTGGATGTCGGCGAGGGGAAGTTTTTTATCGCGTCGACTTTCTCGGTAATGGTGTGATACCGTCTTTTGTCGATATGATGGCCTAAAGTTCACCTCAGATGCCCCGAAAAGTGCATTTGTCCATGTTCAGCCGGAGTCCATAAAGTGCTATTCTTTGGAACACTTCTTTTTAGATGTTTTTTGTGTGTTCTCATCTATGCTGGCTACCAGTATGTCGTCGATGTAGGCATACTGGCGTCGTTAAGCCGCCGCAGTACCTCATCTATGAAGCGTTGGAACGTTTGTGCAGCATTCCTCAGGCCAAAGGGCATCTTGAGGTATTCAAAGAGACCAAAGGGAGTGGTTTACGGCTGTCTTTGGAATGTCCTCGAGCTATGGGGATCTGGTGGTAGGCCTTAGTTAGGTCTATCTTGAAAAGACGCGAGTGCCCTGCAACCCTGAGGCTAAAATCATGAAATATGCGGGACGGATAGCGATCAGGTATGGTTGTAGCGTTTAATCTTCTATAATCGACACATACCTAAAGTCTGTGCTTCGGCTTAGGATGAGATGTAGGGGTGAGGCGTATGGGCTATCGGAGGGTGGTATAAATCCGTCCTGCAGCATGTTGTTAAACTCTTTTGGGCGATTCCAGCTTATGAGAGGAAGTCGTCGTGGGGGAAAAAAGTAGGCTGTCCACTGGTCTTTATATGGTGCTGTGTTTGGTGTCTTGCGGACCGGTACCTGCGAGTGGTTGAATGAGGTCCAGTATCTGTTTAAGATCTCGATGTACTCTCGTCCGTGGCAAGTTGTCACACTGATTCCAGTGGTGTTGTGTCGAGAGAGGGTGCCTTTAACAGCAATGTTAGTGGTATTGTCTGATAAAGTTCTCGTATTCATGTGCACGGCTAGATCATAATGGGCCAGAAATCTGCACCGGTATTGGCGTTTTTACGCCTGCCTGGGTGAAAGTCCATAAAATCGCGCCCGCATACCGATGTTCAGAGTCAGTGTCTTGGCTCCATATGTCTCGATCGTCGAGCCATTTGCTGCCTGGAGTTTATACGGGTCGCCTTTTCGGTCTTGCTGTTCTTTGGGGGTATCACACTGATAGCTGCTCCTGTGTCCACTAGAAACTTTATGTTGTTCCGCCGGTCCCATACGTAGAAAAAGGCGGTTCGTATATGTTTTTGCGGGGGGTTCTGCCGCTCCTACCGCCAGCTGTTTAGTTTTTTCGACTTGGTTTTGGAGCTGTATTTGCAGGGTGCCGGCAATTCCTTGCCCTGGTGCGAATCTGTGATGGTACCAGCATAATTCCGGTCGACTAAATTCGTCGACCCTGCTGGTACTCCGTGCTCTCCGTCGCCAACCGCCCGTCGCCGCATCGGGCCTCTCGATGCGGGAAAGGAGCATTCGTGATATCCTGCAGCTGATGTTGCAGGTCAGCTACTACCTTTTCCAGGTCCGTTTTTTGGCTGGTGTGTCGTCTGGGCGCCAGTAGACGGCACACACTCCTTGGTCCAGTTTAGTTGCGGCGCGGTCAGCGGAGTTTGCTAACTGGTCTAGTGGAGTGTGGTCAGCGATTATTGCCAATATATGCGTTATGGTAGTGGGTAACTTGTCCATCCACAGTTCACGAAGATTGATTCGCCATGGAATGTTTCCCCAGTCGGCTCCTCATGAGGCGTAGGAGCTGTGAGGGTGTTCTGTCGCCCCTGGTGATGTGGGTAAAAAGTTCCCGGAGCAGTTCCTCGTCGAGCGGCCGGTTCGTTTCAGAATAGCCTCCTTGAGGCGCAGTATATGGCTCCTGCTCGGATGCGTGTTCCAAGATGTCGGCTGCCGTGCCGGCGACTGAAGGTGGCAAAACTTGTACCACGTGATTAAATTTTGCTTGTTGTGATGTGATTTTCCGTGCGAGAAAATGGCTTCCAGCTGTAAAAACCAGTTCTTGGTGTTCTGCTCGTTGTATGCGGAGGGAGGTTTGTGAGTGGCATTGCCACATTTATGAGAGTGTTCTGTTCCCACTCGTCAGTTGCCATCTTGCTCGATCGTAAATATCGGGGTCACCACTTGTTGCGGCGCTAAGCAGGTTGACTGTTAACCCCAAACGGAAAAATAATATAAGATAATACGATCGAAGCAAGGACAACAAAAACGAGGATGTAAAAGTTTAAGCCAAATTTTATTAAATAAATCTGGCACAAATATATACAGATAATCGTTTGTAGTAGTTATCGTGTAGTCTTGAAGGGCGTTGTCAGGTTTCAAGGCGACAGCTTGGAGGTAGGCGAATGGAAACAGCGATGTTCGAGGTCCAATCGATCCCTGGATGTCTGTACTTGAGTAAAGATGCGTCGGCGCTTGCAGAGAGAGAGGATCGGCCCGGACAGTGCTGTGGTGTAGTCAGTTCGTCCTTGGGTGGACTGTCATGCAGGATCGCAGCTTGGTAGTCCTAATAAAAGGACGCGGCTAGGTTAGTCCTGAAAAGGACTATTGCATATTATGTGTCGAGGCAGACTATTGCATATCATGTAACCGAGGATAGGCTAGTGCATATCATGTAACCGAGTGTAGGCTAGTGCATATCATGTAGCCGAGGATAGACTAATGCATAATGTAACCGAGGATAGGCTAGTGCATATCATGTAACCGAGTGTAGGCTAGTGCATATCATGTAGCCGAGGATAGGCTAGTGCATATCATGTAACCGAGTGTAGGCTAGTGCATATCATGTAGCCGAGAATAGGCTGCTGCTGATATCTGCTGGCCTTGGCTGCTGCTGATGAGGAGGCCGGACTGCTCTGCTGGCTCTAGCTGCTGCTGATGTCTGCTGGCCTTGGCTGCTGCTGATGAGGAGGCCGGACTGCTCTGCTGGCTCTAGCTGCTGCTGGTGTCTGCTGGCCTTGGCTGCTGCTGATGAGGAGGCCGGACTGCTCTGCTGGCTCTAGCTGCTGCTGATGTCTGCTGGCCTTGGCTGCTGCTGATGAGGAGGCCGGACTGCTCTGCTGGCTCTAGCTGCTGCTGGTGTCTGCTGGCCTTGGCTGCTGCTGCTTCGTGTGGTCAGCGTAGGTGAGAGGGGGGAGCTCGTCGCTCAACCCCGAAGCCAAAAATCAGCTGAGAAGAATAATTTGGTGGAAAAAATCCGCTGTGTATATATAGGCTGAGGTCGGCAACCTAGCCTGTCAGCGATATATTTGGGGTGATGACTGAAAATTACCTTCTACTTTTTGGCTGTACACATGGGTTCCATTCGGACACCATGTGTATATAAAGTAGTTTCTGGTAATTGTTTTTGGTTGGGAAAGTTAGTATATGTAAATGTTTCGCTTTTTTTCTTAGTTTGTGTGAGGCGTTGACTGAAAAACGCTTAGTCACCGGAAGTTAACGGTATTCGTTTATGTTTTCAAGCGGTGACGCTTTTAGATGTTTGAGTAGCCGGCAGTAACTTCCGGCCGGGTGCGATAAGCTTTTCTAATTAATAAATGTCATACTTTTTTACATTTTTTTTTTTTTTTTTACAATTCAAAGCAGATTTTCTATGAAATCGCGTAATGTTTTACAAAAAAAAACTGGTGATTTACTTTCTACAAAGAGTCCTGTTTATAACTAATAAAAAACATCCCGTACATGAAGATTTAATTTCTCGAAATTTCATGAAAATATGTAAGTGGGTGGAAACATGTTAAAAAAAAAAAAAAAAAAATCTCTTTTTAACAAGATTTTCTGAAAAAAAATTTCAAAATTAATTTCATTCAAATCTGAATAAGTTCTGAAAGTTTCATTAAAATCCAACAATTATTTGATTTTTGCAAGAATTTCCTAATTAACGTGTGTTTTCCTCAGGAAAAGCACAAAATAAAACAAACCATTTTTTTTTAGTCTTTTCACGTTGTCGTAAAAAAAAAAAAAAACATAATTTTTAACCAAAATTTTCTACGTGTTAGAAAGGAGTAAAAAATTTCAAAAAATATTTAAAAAATACTTTGGTCTTTCCTCTTCATAACAACATAAACATAATTTAAACAAAACTTTGTTTTCGTTGATTTATGAGTCTTTTTTCATTGTGATATGCCGCTTTTTTACGTGACCTAATGGAGGAACCTAGATTTAACAGTAATCTGATGCCCTTTTCTCTTCTACAAATTTACTTATAAAAGAAAAAGCGTTTATTTATTTATTTTTTTCCTTTTCTTTTTTCTTTAGTACTTTTGTTAAACAAAACGTGTTTTTAAACTATTTTTCTATTCTTAACCATTTTCTATAAATAAAATACATATTTTACAAATCCACCTTAATATACGCCTAGTTATCGTGTCACATTACCTCCCCCAACGGATCTTGTCATTTATGTTAATAAATTACAATAAACACAATTAAAGTCATGACACGATGCTTCTTCAGGTCAGCACGCCATCACCACAAAAATTATTTTGATTCCACAGGGGTATTCTCCTCCCCTCCATAACCACTAATTATGAAATTTCTTATTAATCAATTTGGCATTATTTACCATTCTTTGTATTTCCTCAACCCATTTTTTTTTTTTTTATTTCCACAACCAATTCATCAATTTTGTCTTCATAGCCAGTGGCATCAATGAATCCACGCAGTTGGTTTATCGCTACATTAACAAACACCTTTCCCAACTTAAAGTTTTGCTTTCCGATTTACATCCATTCCCTTTTATTTCTGGAAGAGATTCTACTCTTTGTCAATTCAACTCCTGTTACCAATTTCCAGCCCTGAAAGATAAGCCACAAATCCCTGGGCCTTCCTGCTCCCTCCTATGAAACCTCGTCATGGTGGAAGTTTGCTGAGGACGCCCCTCCCAATGGGGTCAATGGTGCCCGACAGAATAATTGAAGCATAGTTTACCCAATAAAAACAAAGAAAAAAAAAATTTAAATAACACAAATATAATAGTCATGACTCTGAGCAAGTCCACTGCATAAATATAGGAGCGATGTAACTGTTCCTCATTATCAGTCTCTTTTTCAACTGTTTAAAGTTCTCCAAACCTATTCCATTTTCCTTTCTTTCATTTTTTTTTCTTTTAAACAGAACAACAAAAATAAATAAATAAATGTTTCTTTCTGTTTTTCTCAAAAATATTTTTTTCATCATCATCATTTCTTTTTTTTCCACAAGCACAGTTGTTTCTTGCTCTCTCTCCCTTCCTCTTATTTTTTTCCTTATTTTTTTCCTTTTTTTTTTTTTTAAAGTACACACATTTTTTCTTTATGTGCATGCTCCTGGAGCACCCTGTCCATTAGAAGGAAGTGGAATATGGAATATCAGTTCTTTTCTTTTTTTGGTTGTTTTTTTTTTTTGTAAACCTCAATCATTATGGCCATTAGTTTGCGCTTGATTCCTCTGCCTGGGTTCCTTTCTCAGGATCAGTTTCAGGGTTCTCTGTCCCTTGGGTCTCCGTGGTTTCAACAGGTGATCCACCCTTTTTGCTATTCAGTCCTCTTGCCGGCATAATTCTTCTACATCTTTTTAACCAGTGCCTTCCCCAAACTACTTGAATTATTATCCCCACCAAAATACATCCCCCAACTGATAACAAGGCTACAGATTTAGTGGTCCAACTCCCCTGGGGAAGAACCTCCCCATCTATCATCTCTAGTTGATCAACTAAGTCTTGTAAATCAATTCTTTATATTTTCTCTAATAGTTGTGGAAGTTCCCTTGCAGTAACATTCAACGATGTTCTAACGAGAGGTTTCCACAAGTCTGTCCAACGAGCCAATGAGATGTTTGAGAGAGCAAAGAAAGAATGTCTAGATTCAAATCTATCTTCCGCTTGGTAAAAAGGCGAAAGTGTGATAGACATACCTAAGGCTGTGCACCCCATAGGTAAGCTTATGATAGAGGCGGGGTGGCTGTAATGGTGTTGGCCTCCCTTTGCATACCTGGGACAAATCTAACTTTGTCCCCAACGCTACCGCCCACACCCCGTCTGACAAGACTATGGCTTATGGCATCAATTTGCTTTTTGATACCTCTATGTTACAGGTTCGTTTAATCTCCTCTTTGTTCCCATTAAATAACCCAAGTAAGCAGGTTTGATGCCCTACAGTGCCATATATAGGACTCCTTGAGGGGTATGTTCCCAGCATGTCCATTCTGCATTTTTCCGCTTCCGCTTCAGTGAGCAACATGAACTTGGTTCAAGGCTATATATTCTGCTTCTATCTTATATTTAGCAATTACTCCCAGCTCCTGTTCCAGGGTAGGGGATGGGTAAATTAATTGCCTGGAAAACTTCAAACATACTCCCTCTGTTTAATAGAGGTATTGGTACTAAGGCTAACAACTTATCGTTTTCTATCAGCATAACACAACCCAGGGAGCTATAGTAGTGCCATAATTCCATGTTGGGATCAGAAACAGCAGAAACTGATGAGGAA